GAGGGGCAAGTTGTGAGGCCGTGTAGGTGTCATTAAGTACATCCCAAAATTAAAGTTCATTTGCACTCTCCTCCTGAACATCAGATTTAGGATAGTATAATTGATTTTAAAAAAATTTGACAATAATGGAGTTATATTTTTTAGTAATAAGTGAGTAGTACTTACAGTGTTTTTTGATATCCAAAAAAAAATACGCTTGATGGATTTAGGGTCAAGTTTTGTGTGATTTGGGGAATGAATGTAATGAAAAATACACGCCAAAGAAGTTTAAGTGGTGCAGTAAAAGTGAAAGCTCTGATGTGGAGATAGTTATCCATCAAGGCATGTAGTTTTGTTTTAAAATGAAGTATCAGCTAGGCAATCGATTGATAAGATATGTTACAGTAAAAGCTACTTCACCCAATAAAATATTTTAGAACTAAATGGCAAATCATAATTGAGCAAGATATCTCAAAAAGATGTACGATCTTTCTCCAGCCATCTTATTTTGTAATGGGATCTCAAAACATGAACTCACATTAATGAGTTCATTTTTTGAAAGGTGGAATCCAAAGTATTCTTTCGTATTAGTAGTTTTGAGGATCTAAATTTTGCATTAGAATTGAATTTTAATCATGTCATAGAAGGATTAAAAGATTTGAGTAATTTGAGATTTTTTATTTAATAGGAATACCCAAGTGATTTTAGTGTGATTGTCAATGAATTATACAAACTATCTAGCCCCACTTAGAATCTTTACTATAAAAGATCCCCAAATATCATTTTAGATAATAGAAATATAATATGAGGGTTTGTACAGGATCATGGGATAAACATTTTAGTATTAGGATGACCCAATACAAACCCTCACATTATTTTACAAGTTGACAAATCTCACATTGATAAACATTTTGACAAGTTGAAAAATCTCACATTAATAAGTACTAGATTTTTAATGACAAACAAATAAGGATACAACTTTACAATTCAATTAAAATTAGGATGACCAAAGTGACAATACTATAACATGTCTTGTTTTTCAACAAACACAGACTCGACAAGCTCAAAAACTTGAGGAAAAGATGGAGGTGGGACCACTTGTGTGTTCAGAGAGAGATTTTTCATAGCAGGTATTAACCTTGATGCATTTTAACGCAGCTAATCATCTTCCCCGAATCTACCACCTAAAATTCATAAGAATTTCCAATGAATTAAGTTATACATTTCATATCATGAATAAGTTTAATGATTGAAATTAAATTACAGTTCAATTTTAGAGCATATAAAACAGAAGAGTAATATCCTGAGATAGTTTCATATCTCCTTTTCCAAAAAAATTTTTGTGTTCCATTTGCACGCCTGATACATCTAGATATAGAAGCCTCTTGATAGTTGACTAGAGCACTGATGTCTCCAGAAATATGATTAGAAGCTTCTGAATTTATGATCAAAGGTCTAAAACTTCTACTACTGGCAAGATTAAAGAATGAGATATTACCTTTGCGAGTCAAGAGACTTTTGTGCTGTTGTGAATTACCAAAAAAAGAATTTTTTTAGTACATCAAGCTTTTCCTTGGTGAATCGGTTAATTAAACCTTCGGATGTGGTAGCAAAATTAGTCATTCTTTCTAGATATTTCCTTCCATGTCCATGCTTCCAATCTACACGTATTCCATGGAGTTTCTAGCATGTCTAGGTGCCCAATTTTCTTATAATAGTCACGTGGAACAAATCTTCCAGACTTCAAGTCATGAGGAAAATTATTAGAGTACAGAGCTGAGCTTTCAAAACTTTGTGAACTACCGTTTTCAGTCATCATAAGCTTCTTTCTACTCTCTTTTCTTCTAACTTCAGTAAACGCTTCTTGGGTAGATCAAATAAGTTTTATCACATGATCCTCACTCTAACTTCATCTAATTCCTTATTCCCACTAGGAATTTGATATTTCTCTTCTTCTTTGATAAATTTATACATCACGGAATTATGTGGATATTTCCACACATGTATTAAACATATCCAATTGTAGCCAACACTTTGTCAAGGTGTTAAATATTTTGTGACAGTTAACTCTCCTAGACGAAGATCATGTGGTTTGGTTTCAGTCTCAAACAACTATGCAGCATTCTCAGTGTTGGAATAAATTTCTCTTGCAGCCTCAAAAATTTCTTTAGTTGCTTTGTAGAGCAAGAAATGTTCTCCTACTTCAGTGGTCACTGAGTTTACTAGCCAAGACATAATCATATAGTATTGAACCATGTGGGATGGTTAGGATCATCAAGCACTGAAACTGCGCCTTCTCTCTTGAGAAGTTCCTATTTTCTTTTTCCACAAATGTACATAAACAAGGATTGTGACTGTTGAAGAAAATTATGATCATTGAATTTATGATTTATGATAGAGGAAGAGAGTTCAAGAGTTGTTTGGCTAAAATTTCTGGTGATATAGAACTAACCTCCAAATTAAAATTAGACGTATCCATTCCATACTTGGTCATAACCCTATACATGTTTAGTGATTGTTGTTTGCTTCAGGGATGGAGTCCAACGGCCATAATAAGGATCAGAGGAAGGCCTGCACGCTGGCTGGAGGGATTCGAAGGCTGTAGGAGGACTTTGGGTGATGGTCGGTTGTTGGGATGCTCCGACAGCTATAAGAGCGAGTGAATCAACAGAATGCTCAGATATGTTGGGGCCAAATGTGCAGAGAAGAAGCTGGAAGTGAGGAGATGAGCCCTAAGGTCTTTTTTTATCTCGTTTGTGAGGAGACAAAGTAGTGATGTCATGGAAGATTCAAAGACGAGATGACTAGTGTTTGTCGATGAAAGCTCTAAAGATCTTCACTGGGTTTTGCGGCTAGTGCATATGAGAGAGATAGAAATGGAGATGTCACTGGAGAAAGAGATGTCAAAGATAATGTCTGAGATAGAGAACAAAGAAACCGCTGAAGGTGACGAGAATCGAAGCATTGTTGGAGAGGCAGTCGAGAAGAAGAGAACACCTCGATACGAGACATGGAGAGACCACGCACTCTTCGACCTCAAAGATGAGCAGCAGTTGCGACAAAGAATGACGATGAAGGAGAATTCTAATGTCACGGCTCTGATACCATGTAGAAGAAACATGGGAGAGAACCCTCACATAACTCCTATTACCAATCTTCGACTATAAGGCTACACATACATAGGAAACTAGTCCTAACTTATAATCTTATCAAATATATCTAGCCAAAACATGAAAAAAAAAATATCTCTGAAATAAACATAAATTGAAAGAGAAAAAAAATTAATCAAGCAGTTTCCCAAATTATCACCAATTAATCCCTCCATCACTCCTGGGCCCACCATGGAAAGGAGGTCAATCATCCAAGATTTCACAGAAACAAATCAACACTCCAACAATGTGATTTTTGGCAACCTATGTTCAAAACATGTTGCTTTCATTCCCTTCTAGTGATCATAATTTTGAACATACTCTTTAATCTTAACAGAACACTTTTCTATAATCATTTATAATCCATGTATTCTTCAGGATATCATTAAAACATAGTACAATATCTCCCATGATAATTCAAATATTAATAACTACCTTATCTAGTAAGGAAACTCATCTTTAGGCATATTCTTCAATATAACTCAATTTCATTCTTTCACACAAATCTGTAAAATATTTCATAGTACATTTTACTCAATTTGCTTTAGAAAAATATTTTTCAATAAAGCTCACATCTCATTAATGCTCATAATGATATTTTTCACCTTCTCGTGATGCATTCATCTCTTTTACGTTTCCTTTTTCAATCTTGATATATCAAACCTCAGCAAAATCACATATCACTTGTCCCTTGTCTCGTCTACAATTCATAAATTTCTTCCTCCAGCAAATTGCCTAACATAAAAACCACAAGATTTACAGCTTAAAATTGACTCGCTACCTTTTTTGTAAGTTTGCTGCCATACTTACTATTAGTGCATGTTTTAATTAAAAAAAATATATTTTGAAAATCCATTGGCTTGCAGAAAGAGACAAAAATAGAATGAACAAAACCTTCAAACTAGCTCTGCACTTTAAAACATAGCTAGATAGAAACTAAAAATAGAATAATTTTGTTGGGTTATGGTCATGCAGGACAAACGTAATCTGCTAAATGATTTAATCAATTTTAAAGGAGTCGTGTATCCACACAAGTTAATTTAGTTAAATCAAATACATGTGTTTTAAGACACTAAGAATGAATGCTTAATGGCATAAATAGAAACATATGTAGAACATGATTGATCAACAAACAAATTTATTGAAAATTAATGAATTTAAGTGCAAAAGTGGCTTTCAAAATGTAGACAAAACTCAATAGCCATTATTTTCTAGTAAGTCTAGAACCAAAATTTGGAAAGAAAATGGATAAAAAAGTAGTATTTAACATGACTAAATCAGAGCCTAAATGAAGAAGTTTACATGTTTCTATGTTTTCAATTATCGAAGTCGTCATTGAAAATAATTTTAAGTTAGGAAAATATTGGCAAAGTAATAAAAAGAAGCTAACAGTATAAATTTCAAAATCTCAAAGTGTCATTAGAAAATTGTTAAAAAATTGTTCGCCAAATTAGCACATAAACTACCAAGCAAACAATAGTAAAACATAATATTTGAGTAGTTGCTCGAAAAAATAGTACTAAAAAAATGCTTCTATCTCATAACTCCACAGAACACCGGACTAAGGAGAAACCTACCGGAGCATGCAAATGAAGAGACAAGAAGTTATAGATGAACGTTAATTTAAAATGCCTTTCACAAGAACAGTAGGGCATCAAATTCCTTAATAGATTTTATCGAAAAAAAGCATAAGGCAGTCAAGGGGGGCACATGAAAAATTAAGGACTTGCCTTCAGCTTCACCATGAAGTTGTCTGGATTAAGAAAATTCTAAACTGTAACAAATACATGGAAATTGCACCCCTGAATCTGACGCCAGAAGCAATGATGAAGGGACTATTTGTGGGCCTTCAATACCAGGATGAAAAGACAGGTACTTTAATATTAGTAAAGCCTGCCACAACATTCAGAAGAGCCACAATAGCAAGCCTTCTGCTTTATGTTTCCCTCAGAATCACGGACTTGGTCTAATGTATAGTTATAGTGATATGTCAGTTCTTGTAATGGCGGAATATTATCAGCAGCAAAAAACATGATGTGAGGCATCCGCTTGTCATCATGGTCATAGAGAACATTCTGTGCGTAAAGGTTAGGAGAACAGCTATGATTAATAAATCGCCCTACATTTCCATATTCTGCTGCGTCAATAGTAAAACCTACACTTTCCACAGTATCACATTCAGCACTAGATTGCAGTCCTGGTATAAGATTGGGAAGGTCCTCCCATAAAGAGTGATCATCATAATTATGACCAATGTCAAAGAGATACTCATCATTGGTTCTCAGTTCAGCATCGCCATCTTCAAGCAACTCTCCTACATACTCACATATAAAAGTACCTGATGTAATGGATTTCAAGGATCTGACCCCCCATCCTCTTCCTCTGGTCTTGAAGATCTCTAGTTGCATTCTAATACCACGTTGACTAACCCTGTTGTGGCATGACAGAGAACATTTACAAGAAGGACCACACTCATAAATGAGCGGCTTTGCTTGAACTATAGCACCATTGAAGTTAAATGGAATTTCCCCACCATTTTTAACAGCACAAGCACACTTTTCAGAATCTGAGCAACCATCAGTACAATCGCAGCCCCTGGGAGGTGCTTTGGCATAATACGAAGGGTAAATGCTTTTGGTAATATACTTAAAAGATACTGGCAGTTCATTGTCAATTGTGTTAACCACAGCAATAGGCATTTTCTCTTTTCCTTGAGATATATCTTTAACACAGAGACCTTCACGGACCTTCAACTTTGCAGACCTTCTTAGTTCTTTAAGAGCAAGCTCTGGTTGCCCAGCCATTCTTCTCAACTGGAACTTGAAGACATTAAATCCATGATTGCCTACCTCTTGCCAATATGACTCCACTTGATAAAGCCCATCATAAGTGAATGTTGAGAATAGCTTGCCCTTCGTATCATGAGAATCACTTCCTTTCTCTTTGAAACCATGAATCACCCTCACAGGCGTCCGAGTACCTATACTGTTCTTCAATGACAGATTACCACGCTCAAGTTTTTGATCACCAAGCTGTTTATCTCCTCCAGCTACAGAAGTTCCTCCTGAACCAGAATATATCAGGACATCTGAACTGTTCATATCATCCTGATATCCACCAGAAGCCACTATGCTAGTCGCCAGTAGCATGCCACTTTTATTCGTAAAATCTATACCACCTTGAAATGGACGGTGAAGACCAACTATTGAGAGCTCTACCCTAAAATGGAATTCATCACCAATTTCAACTCCAGGAACATTTCCTATTATTGGTTCACCACTGTTCACCCACTCGCCATTATCTTTAAGTATTGATGCAGCTGGCAGATCAATCCGTTTAATTTTACCTAACTGTTTTGTCCTAGACTCCTCTCCTTGCAAGAGTTTCCTGCATATAAGCTGAAAAAGTCGCAAAACCCTCTTAACTTTATGCCTTGCCACAATTTCTGCATTAGCACCACCTTTCTGACATGATTCAGGAGGAACAAATGGGGTCATGGTGATACTCAGTTCATTGTTTTCTTCCAGCATACTATCATCATCAACATTAAGGCATTTGTTCTTCTTTTTGTATGAAAAAATGTCATTTGAAGCACAGTTCTTGTCAACAGATCTCTTCTCCTTCGTAATTTTGCTCTTTGGAACAATAAAATCAGAACTTACTGCACAACGTTTCTTTGGATTCCTCCATGGACAATTTTGTGCAGCCATCAGAGCCTGAATAATCACCCTCTCGCCAGTAGCAGTTAAAGAACCGTCACTTTTACCTGGAGTGTAGTCTTTGTAGGGAATCATTTCTGTCAATTTCCTCTTCTTACTATTATCTTGGTTAATCTCATTTTCCTTTCGTATAGCCTTTTCATCCTTTCGCTTATTTCCAGATTGTGGTTTAGCAATGAAATGTGACGGAATAGTAGCATTTGCTTTAGTTTGAATGTTCTTGACAGCTTGATCAACTGTGCAGGCTTCTAGTGTTTTTTCAGAACTTGAGCCAACAAAGAATTCATTTAATCCACTTTTCATTAATGATTTCCCATACAATCCACTCTGTAATGAAGATTTCATCTGAACATGACCAGTAGCACCTTGAACTCTAATGTTCTTGTCAGAATTAGATCGAACCAGAACACTTTTATCAAACCTAGTTTCTTTCCCCTTAATTGCTTCAGAACTTTTTCTGTCAGCAACCACAACTTTTTCAGAAGATGAAAGATTCACAAATCTGTCATTTGCTCTTGACTGATTCATCTTTGACTTCTCACGATTGAAGCTATTTTCAACACCTGAAACTTTTGGAGAGACATCTATCAGTATTGATTGCTTCTCCCGAGGCATGCTTTCAACTGCATGTAAAAGATTTTTACTAGCTGCAACCAATGCAGAACTTTCAGCCATTTCTTGCTGCTGTAAAATAGGCTTCTTCTCCCCATAAAAGGTTTTGGATTTTGGAGAACTAATTTTCTTGCTTGCTTCATTTCTCTCCCCCCCAACCAAACTCTTATCATTCAGGGTAGGAGCGGCAAGAACAGGCTGATTATTATCTTCCCTGATACTGCCAGAATTTGGCCCGCATCCATGAGGAAATTGACGAATTGCCGACGCTTTCCTCCTCCTTGGAGGACCATACATCTTCGAATAGCAGTGTCTATCATGAAACCTAAGTGGGTCTGCGCTCTCTTCCATTACCTGTAGCACTTCCAGTTTCAACTTCTTGGGATCGCTCACTATTTTGTTTTCTGGTGCATGTTTATCCTCGTTTTCCTGCTGCACTTCCAATTTCACGGTCTTGGGTTCAGGCTCCACATTTTTTTCCAAAACATCGACGCTCTCCATTACCTGTTGCACTTCAAGTTTCGTGATCTGTGCGTTGTTTCCCAGTACCACAGCTGTCGAACTCACTGTTCGCTCCGTCATTTCGGGAATCAAAGCCTCCACCGAGCAAGGAACATTCAATGGCTCCTCCAAAGCCAGTGAAGAAAGAGCAGTTTCCTTCGCAACATTGGAAGCCGCTAAAAACGTATCCGCGTGGGCTACCTTACCATTCTCCAATCTCACAGGAAAAGAAGTCTCTTCCACAGACTTTGGGCGCAATTTGCCTGCATTAGGACCACAGCCATGGGGAAACTGGCGGACGGCGGAGACTTTTCGCGGTCTGTACTTCGACGTTGTTTCGGGTGACACCTGGAACATCTTATTGATAGGACTGGAGTCACTCTTCTGGGAGGGAGGGGGAGAGAATTCTAAACCCTAGAAAATAAAACGAATTGCTGTGGCAAAAAGAAGAAATGATCTGATGGAAGTTGGAACGTAGAGAAGAAGGAAATGATCTGATGGAGGTTGGAACGTAGATCGATGGCAGGTAGATTTCCTAGGGTTTTTAGCAGGTCCAAGGCAATTATGTTGCAGTAGAGTGTCGAGGTTTGCAGTACAGAAACAGCGCCCTTCATGATTTTTAATAATTATATTAAAAAAAATTGTCTATTCTTTCTCTCTCTTTTGAACCACATAAAAATATACTCATTATATATTTAAAAAATATATGATAAAAAATACAATTCAAATTAAAATGCCTGTTACTTTTTATCAGGTATCATTCATTTATAGTCTACCTCAAATGAAATTACTTTAAAGCATTTGGTATAAGATTTGATTCATGTTCAAACTTTTTTTAAATAGTATTGAATAAGATTTGAACAATATTCCAATACTATTCAAAATAGAGTTTGAGAAAAGACATAACTCTATTTGAACAACATTTGAGCTTTATTTGATCATATTTTAATGTAGTTCATGGTGGCAAATATAATAGAATGAATTATTTTAACGAAGTAAGTATGGCTAATGCAATAGAGTAAGGATAATCACAACAATCATAAAAGTAAATTATATCATAGATAAAAATTAATGTAATTCTAAAGATAAAACAAATAGCCATAATAAAAGAAGGTACTTTTCAATAAGTAGTCATATTTAATCCTAAGAAATTCTTAAACATATAAAACGATTTTTCAATTTCCAAAAAAACTTACAAAATTAAGGGTTTGTTTGGGCCAGCTGCAATTTATTGAATAATCTGCTGATAAGTTAGGTGCGGTGGTTATTACAAATTTTTATTTTTTAGAAAAGTCAAATCGCAACAAGAAAGTTGTCACCGCGCGCATAAGCTGCCAAAATGCAGTTTACCTGAACAGGTCATGTGTGTTTTCAAAACGCCACCGCATCAAATAAGCTGCCCCAAACGGACTCTAAGGGTTTATTTGGGGTGTTACAGCTTTTAAAATGGTTGTTAAGAAGTTGTGGTAAAGACAACAACTTCTTAGAAAGCTCATTTGGGAATTATAAATATACATTTTTTTTTCCAAAAAATCAAGCAACAACCTTCTTACGGTCACCGCACTTTAACTGATCAAGTTGAAATAAAAAACTTACAAACATAGAAATTTCTAGAAAGTAGTTCCTCAAACGAAGCCGTGATGATGGTCTGAAATGCAAAGCTAGAAGAAAGATGTCCTAAATAGATTCTAAGTTCCCATAAAAAATAAGGTCTTTTCTTATGCTGACCGGTGAAAATATAATTAATAATGCTGTTAATATTTTTACGAGAAAAATATTACGTTTCAACCCATTGGAGAACAACTTTTTTTGTACATAGCTAGTCTTTTTCAGACTTCATGAATATGCTAGATAGAAATGGATGAATTATTTAAAAAATATGCTACATTTTTCCTATAGAATCTCTCGCTGCACATTATTTTCATAAACAATTTTTCAAACCTAAATTTGAGAAAAAATTGTATTACTAATCTAATTTCACATGATTTGAAAACTTCCATGATGTTAACATGATTTACGGGTCCGTTTGGGGCAGCTTATAAGTGTGGGCGGCGTTTTCAAAACGCCGCCATACCGTTTGGTTCGCGCTTTTCGCCAGCTTATCCGAAACTGCGTTTGGGTTTTTACACTAAAC